TCCCAGCCAAAACTAGCACAAAACCAAATTTGTACGTTATTCCTCATAATATTTCTAGGAAAGGAAACTTAGAATTCCGAAAGAGATGCCTAAAGCTAGGACTATTAATGACTTCTAAACTACATTCAGCTTTTATCCATGCAGAACAAGGTTTATAGATGTTTGCAAGACACATTTTTTGAATCAGATCCCACAGATGAGATATGCAAAGAAATGTCTAAATTATGGGTTATAATGCATCTCTGGCATGAGATGGATACTTAAACTGCACAGAACTGTAAAGATTGAAGTACCTTAGTGCATGCCCAAAAAGAGATCTTACTTAATGTGGTGGACTTCCCTGCTGCAAGGCGCTGTGTATGGGTTGTTCAGTAGCTGAGCAGAGTTTTTGCAGATCACACTGTTGAATGTAGGGGCTAAACTATGCTTCACTCCCTCATTGGGAGCTAAGTCACTAGCATGTAATTTTGTGTGTACAGTATGAATAGTTGAAATTACTCAAAAAGCATCTACTAATGAGATAGGGAAAAAATAATGTTATATACTTAATATTCTGCCTTGTACAAACATTGAGGTTTGGTCCTATTTTTTTTGGTTTTGTTTCTGGGTTTTTTTGGTATGTTTTGTGATGTCAAAGTTCAATATCCTTAATCCAATAAATTAAATAGAAAAAAAAAAAGCAAACACATTTTTCGTCCAAACTTTTTGAGTTTATTCACATAAACCTTTTTACTGCATTGCCCACAGGAAAGAGAGACATAAGTGAGGACACACAGATGTTAATCTGTTAAAAGTTAGTCAGTATCTGAGTGCATACATAAGATACTTATGTTACTGCTGGATCATAAACTAAACTGACAGTGAGAACATGTATTTGCAGTATAAAAGAACAGAGAACAGTAGAGAATTTTACAAATACGAATTACAGAAATCTCTTGAGAAAAAGAAACATAAGAACAAAGCGCATTCATAAATCACAGTTAGCATCCATATAAAAATCAGAAAAAGCAGACAAGGAATTCTGTTTACTCCAAGGTTATATATGTATGTATTTTAAATCTAGAAGCCAAGCAATTTCCTGAGAGCCTCCTAAGATACTCTGAGCATAACCAAATTCTAGTGATATTGATGAGAGTTGTGAGAGAGCAGCACCTTTATAGACAAGATGAGACTGCTTTGTGAGCTTTCTAGGTGATCAGATAGCTGAGCTACAAAAGCTGAATAGAAGCCAGACTATACCTTACCAGCCCATACACATACCAGTCTTTGTCTAGTCCAGTTTTATGGTATCTCACATTAAACAGTGACTTTGCAATCTGTTCTGCATCGCTGGGTAGTCGTACATAGTGACCAGTCTAATTGGACTAACATTCCAAATGAGAGCAAGAGTAGTCCTCTGAATCAGGATTCAGTAACCTAACAAAATTCATTATTTCATTATGACAGTGTGCCATGCCTTAGGCTGCTTCTTGTTGCTCTTGGTACTCATAAAACAGTCTATTGATTATTTGAGTGACTGGCTGTGTGAACTATGCAAAATAGGCTATTCATTCCCATTTTCTCTCTGTTTTGCTAAAGTTTCATGATGTCATTGTAGGTAATCTTTGTCAAAAGGAAAGTTAAATCTAAATATAGTAGACAAATTACTGTAGCTGTTGTTCAGAACTCTACTGTAATAAGAAACTATATAGTTTCTTCTCGCTGCCTCCTCCCCTTGGTTTAGCTGAATTCCAATGAAAAATATGACTTGTGGTTCTGGGACAGCAAGTCTGGTCTACAGTCAGCTACCACACTGAGAAACATCTTCCTTACACATCTGAGATAAATTTGGACTTCGAATTCCATATCCTGGATAGTGGTATACAAGAAAATAGTCTTGACCCTGACTTGCTGCCTGGGCACATGAGGGTGTTAAAGACAGTGTAAAGAACTACTCAGGGACTCTTAACGATTTATATCAACTCTAAACCATCTCCTCAGGAGGTAAAGACCATGACAAAAACCTGGCTTTGCTGAGACAATAAAATGCACTGGTCCTTCCTGAATATTGAAATAGGCTATTTTAGGTAATGAGAAGTTATTAATATCATTCCATTGATAGAAGTGGACTTAAACTAGCTCCCACTAAAGTGGGAGCATAATCAAGTTGATTAGTGTGGTCCCCAAGTTCTGAGGACACACACTGACTCCAGATCTTCCTGTCTCCAACTGAGATGAAATCACTTTGACATAATCCTCCTTCTATAGGAGTAAGATTTAATGAATATTATAAATAAAATAATGATCAGGATAATACTTTTCCAAGTGCCTATTCAGATGATCGGAATGATTTTACTACCTCTACATTCTAAATATGTTCAGTACCAAACATCTTCCACAGACCATATGCTACATCTGTTCTGCCTACTAACGCCATCACCTCAGTACAATAACTCCCAATTAATGCGTGAATATCCAGAGCAGAATTTGACCCACCTTATGCCAGAATATTGCAGATAAAAAGGGCTAAGATTCACCTTAGCACTTACATTCTTAAGAACCACTCATTCTCCACAGAAGGTGAAGTTATCTTGCAATAAAGCGAAAAACAAGCTACCTTATGACTTGTACAATTCAGTTCAAAGCAGGGCATACGAGCAAAACAGAATAGCAACTTCAGTGAAAGCAGCAGCCCAGGCTCTGTCAGTCTGTTTATAGAGTGGGATTATTATGATTAGTGCAAATGGACGTGGATAACCCTCTTTCTGTTTCTGAGACACATCTGTAGATCATTCTCCATTTAAATGTCTGTTGCTTGCTGCGTTACTGGAAAATAGAAAAACAAACATCTGCGTTCCAGATAGGCACAGCCTCAGAATATGAATACCATTTAATATCCATTCAAAACATGATACTAATCATTTAATGGCAAAGTGGAAGAACAAGGGATATGGCAAGGTGGAAGTCTTGGTGGGAAGTAGGGGAAGAAAGAGTTAATAGTTAAAACAGATATATACAGAAAAAGCACTTTTTTTTTTCTTTTTTAAATAAGATGTTGTTCTCTCCACCTTTTACTTAGACTAAAATCAGCTTTGAGGAATCCATCTCTCCCTAATTTCAGTTGGATACCAGTCCATTCATCCATGAGCAAAAGTAGGCACCATGTTGTAGCAATGTCACTTGTTCCAATACTCTGACACTAACCACTAAAAAGTTCCTCTTATAAGTCTATTTTAAGTCATCCATGAGATACCAGGTGTGTTAGGCTAGTCTTTTATCTAGAAATTGTGGCCCAAGTACAAGTAGAGGCAATGTAGTTCAGAAAATGCTTCTTTTCCTTTTAATGACCCATTCATTTATCTGATTGACTAAAATCTGTTTCCATGCATAGAAATCCTGCAAAATAAATCCCAAAAATGCTGACAGTGGGCTACATTGAAGTGAATGATTGTCACTAAATCACTCCCAAGGACTGACTTTGGAAATTGCATATCTAACAGAATTTTGCTACCTTAAAACCATTCAAATGTTACTATTCCATTTTACAATAGATATATATGCTGTTGTATTCTAAGTTATTTACATTGTCTAAGACTTTCCTTATTAACTTCAGTCATTCGGTCATCTCGTTCTGCTGACCAAAAAAGCTGCATTTTCAAACCCAAGAACAGCTGCATATGTTGTGCAATTTTGCTGCATTATATTTTTCAACAATTATCTGGCAGTTTTGCAGTCCTTTATTGATGAGGCTTTCGACTCAAGCTCAACTAAAATGTTTTATGTTAGACATTGGCTTGTTTGGGTCCAAAGTATTTCTGTTGCTCCCTATTAACAGAAAACTTGAGTACTTCATATGAAAATAGTAAAAACCAACCTGACAATCTAGCATTCTTCTGTATTTTCTCAGCCATCGCATGAATCTTATGGCTACTGCCATGCATCCACACTACTAATGGTAGTCCTAGGTAGTGGCAGTAGCAGCAAGATTTTTGAAAATTTCTTCCCATTGGAAACTACAGTGAAAGTGTGTAACTAATATTCATTATAAGCAGGCTTAGAGCCTGTGGTAGATCCCATTCCTAAGCCGTTTCTGCAAGGAAGAAGTCTATCACTTCTGCTGTTGTGAAAGTAAAAAAATGGCAACTTGACTACAAATAAAATGTGTACATAATGAATATACACGTCAACCTAGCAACTAAGAGGTAAAATCTAAATGTTCCTGACTAAATCGTTCAGAGTTTTCATACAGCTTTCTGAAGAATAATTGGACCTGGCTATGAATATTGCACAAAATATAGGAATAATTTGGTTTCTTTTTACCATAAATGAAAATAAAAATAGTCCCATTACAGTCAGGTTGAATACTTGTCTTCAGTTGTATGCATGAAAGTGCTGTGGGAATCATGAGATATATCTAAAAATGAAATTTCTTCTGGGAAAAAACTACAGGACAATTTAGCATTAATGTTTTCAGCACCTGTAAAGTTAGTCCATTTCCTTTTATACAGCAGCTTTCTAGTTCATCAGCAGCTGGTTTGGGAACTAACAACAGTGCGACACCTAGACTCCATTCAGTGAGTGTTTACCAAAACTCATCAATGGGCTCACACAGTGAAGACTGCGCTTGAGCTAGCCCATATGTGCTATTTTGTTTAAACTTGATTCATATCTACATAAACTTCAGTCATATCAATATATTGTAATTTAGATACACCATTACTTTCTTTTCCTTTTAGCCCCATTTTTTTCTTTTTCTTTCTCTAGTAGCTTCCATATATTACCATGTTACAAATATGGAAAGCACATATTCTTTTAATGTTTTTATAGCAAAGCTTAGGCCACAAATATACCTCTGTATATTTACATTATTTTTGGGATTTCCTTAGGTTGCTCTATAGCAGAGAAGCAGCAATAAAATCAGAAAGTTGAGTAGAAAGGTGGAGAGAGGCCTAATGATCACACACCCTAAGACTATCCAAAAATCACCTTCCCCTCCCCCTTTTTCTTTTTTTCTTCCACAGCATTCTGACTCCAATTGTAATCTGAAGAAGCGAGTAAACTCCGTAACGTCTCAGGCAGATCAGTCTCCCGAAGCCAGCATAATATCAAATAGTGCATCCCAGTGTCAACCAGTGTGTGTTCCTCCACCAGCACCACCACCACCTATTGGAGGCACAAGTAAAATAGACCAGTATTCTAGGATCCTCTTTCCCGTGGCGTTTGCAGGATTCAACCTGGTATACTGGGTTGTTTATCTTTCAAAAGACACTATGGAAGTAAGTAGTAGAATTTCTGAACACTTGCTTATAATATGCAATATGTTTACTTGACTAATAGTATTTTAATTGTTAATTTACTCTTGCAACTGCAGTTAATCAGACCTTTCTGAGAGAAGTTACTGATAATGACTTTCTCTAAAAATCATCTGTGGCTTCTAGTGGTAGTGCACTCAGTACAACACAGAAAGGCTGTTTGAAGATGCAAAGTGTAAACACTTATCTCTATGCCACGTTGTGCTGAGCAGAACACATTGTGTAAGACAACCTATGATGCCATTCTCAGGAAACAAACTAATCTTAAATCTTCCATTTCTTAATCTTCCTATCTGCAGTAAGGAATGGTGGAATTACCTGTTGAAGCGATGCAGTGAAAGAGATAAGAACTTTAATATCTCCCAAGGTTTGCTTAGTGAGGTAATAAGATAACAGTCTCCCCCCAAAAGTTTGTTATTAATTCTAAACATTTATCCATAGTGAGAGGAATTGACAACTGCAGTATATAGTTTGTGAAACAAGAGTCCCTGGTTTTATACATTTTAACACTTACTTTTCCTGTTTCTTCATATAGCTGAACTGGTTTATGCAGATAAAGCTGCTAAATTCTTTGCTTAAGTTTGTTTGAATCAGGCAGAGAGTGATCATGTCTTTAGATGTCCATGATGTCCAGAAGAGATGTGTGCCCTGCAAATTGAGCATGTCTAGAATAATCAGTCAATGATTAGCTTATAATTTTCAAGCAGTCATTAAAGTCTTTAATGCTTTAATTCTCTAATTTTTCCCTTTTGCCTAAATACAGCTAATGGTTGTCCCGTTTCCTTGGTAAAAAATCTATTCATTTGCCTTGTTGCCATAGAGTTTTTGAATCTCACTGTACATTGCAGTCAATATGATTGGTACATTTAGCTTTATTTAGGACAGCTAGAGAGATAATGATGGTATTTAGATAGTACTGAATGCACAAAGTCCCTACATCAATAAAAACAGAGGCTGGCAATCTTGTAGGATTGGTGAGCAGATTGTACCTTTATTTCCTAAATTAGAGGTAAAGCAGGCCAAGGGAAATCTCATGGACAGCCAAGAGATGTTGCAGTTCAAAGTAATAGGACAGTGCTGACCAGCTGATTGGTGGCATCTTGCCTCTTCTTCAAGCAGAGGCTACTAGCTTCTAATTTTGCTGATTTTTGCTACTGGTATGATCTAGAAAATGCTGTCTCTCAAAGATGGAGTGTGCTGCCAAGCAGCTTATATGAAATCAGGAGGGCAGGAAGATAGGAGGCACTATCTCTTACAAATGTTTCTGCAGATGTCTCTCTCAAGAGGTCACAGCTGCTAACTCCTGGCCACTCAAAATCTGCCCAATGCTAAATTTAGCACTTGTGCCAGAGTTACTGATCCTGCTATTAAAATATTGACTATGTGTGCAAATTACTTATCTCAATCAGAGAAGGGAAGTATCAAAAAAGCTCATGTATAATCATTACAGCTTCTGTTTAGAGGCCAGTTCCTCAGCTTGTGTAGCTTGCCATAACTCCAGTGATTTCATTCACCCATTCACATTTTGGATCTAGAAATATTTGGAACACAGTTGACATTTCCCTTGGTAGTGATGAAATATTTACACTGAACCTTGTATATTAATAGTAATATTAGAACTAGGCTTTTAAAATACATCTAAAGTCTAGGATGTAGTGCTGACTATAAATATTTTTAAAATGCCACTTTTGCAAGCTCACAAACCTGCCCACAAACTCAGAAATTATGTTCTGTAGTAGCCTTATAGAATGACAGAAATTGAGCAGCAAGAGTTAGAAAACAGAGCAGTACTGAGAGCTGGGGTGTTTCGAATGATGAAGAATGTAAACAATTATGTAAAGTGTTGATAAAGCTCTTCATAAATTACATTTTCCTGTTTTTGTACTCAATTATAACTAATAATGATTGTGATACACATTGGCAGGGTTCTAATTCAATATGTTGTATCACTTTGCCAGTTGCTACTTTCAAGGAAAACCAGGATTGGTTTTGCTTTAAAAATATATTAAAAATATGTAAGCCTTTCCATTGAAGCAGAGGAGATACAAAAGTTAGGTGAGCAAAGCATGGTATGCTTCAAGGCCAGTTCAACTCAATCACAGGCTCGAGCCCAAAAAATTAAATATCAGTACAGTATTAGTTAAGAAATTATTTCATTTAGAAAGTGAATTTTGTGCAGTATTTCAGGTATATTAGCTTTTATTTTGGAGCTCATTTAGCTTTTGTTTAAATAACAAAATGGAAAAAATATAATCAGTTCATTGAAATAACCAAATTTCCTGTGTACTAGTTCTTGTAGTGCACCTTTCTAGGATTTTTATTAGTGTGGTTTGGAGTGCAGAACATCATTCACCTAAGTCTGTTACTGTGGAGATTCCTAAACTGAACAGCAACCTACTGTCTTTGGATGGTACATGTAGTATAAATCAAGAAGCATTTCATGAATCTGCTTGTAAAAAGCAGGCTATTAGCACTGGAATTAAAGGTAATTTTCAACTCATGTCATGATCTTCTGGCAGACTCTGACTTTGAAGGAAGCGCAAGCATATTTTTACCTGATGTTCTGGACTCAGAGCATCAGCTAGAATGAGCAGCCTTGTTAATGTAATGACACAGAGTTGCGCGAAATGAGGAGCTCATCTAAGCCGTTTGGTAGTATTTCTGTGCACTACTAAGCAGTTTTCTTATGGCTTAAGTAATGGGCCATATGTTACAGAAACGAAGAAGTCAGTCTTGTGTATTGTATCCGATAATATTTATAAGAACCTTGGGACTTGAGTACTTTTCAAACAGCTCCTTGGAGTACCTTTTTCTTCCCCCTCCATTTAATCATTTTCTTTTTAGAAGACACCAGGTTAATCACCGTTTCTCTTACTAGACATGTAAACTAAGAGTACATTAATTACACAGAAATTTTAGGATGTGGAAGTTTGTATAATGAAGAAGGTGTTTCTAATGTATGCCTTTAAACACTTGAATATTATTTTTCAGAGCAGCCAGGATTGGGCAGATAGCAAGAGTATCTTAGACTGAACTCCGTATTTGTACTTCCGTATATATTGTATCAAGTCCAGCTCAGCAAACCAGGAAGTTTAATAACAAACTTTCTTTGTAAAATGAATCTTTTGCTACATTTGTAAGCAAAATAGCAGCAATTCTCTGACTGAAAAAAAATGAAAAAGAAATTCCAAGTTGAAGATAAGTGCTTCAGCTGAATGCTTTTTATACATGGACGGGGATGATGTTTTTTTCTGTCCTTAATATTTAAATAAATGATTCTATTCTCCCAATGGAACAAGTAGGAAAATATTCTTATTCAGTAACAGTCATCCACCATGCAACTTGATACATAAAAGATATTTCAATGTAAACTGGTTTGCAATGTGGAGTAGCAATAGTGTTGCAGGACAACAATTATATTGGTAAAAGTATAGAAATGAAGCTAATATAGTTCTCTGCCTACATTTTGCTAGACAGCATGTTGTTAGAACCTAATATAACAAAAGGACAACATAAAAGTAGAAAAAAGGAGGCACTTAAATACATATGTATGAAAGAAACACCAGTTGAAATAGCAGAAGCCAGTTTTTAGACCACAGAAAATGCTGATACTTGTGTGATAAGCCCACCTTGCTCTCAGAAGGTTTTATAACTGTAATGCTGACAGATGCTTGAGTATAGCAATATCACTGTGCCATTTATAATATGAAAACAATAAAGCATCAAAATTACTCTAAGAGGACTCACTCCCTCACTACATAAGGACAGTTTGTAATTAATTTAAGATGGAAGGTTTGAAGATGTGGCATCCCCATGATTTATACATGCAAAATGGAACAGGCATGTTTCTATGGTATGTGTTTTGTAGAGTACAGTAGCAATATCTGCCAGCCACAAAAAGCTCCATACAGTAACAAACAATACGCATTTGTCTAGGTTAGTCAAATAGAGAAGTTCTTGAAAGGAGAACAAACCTAGCTGACAAATGAGAAAAAAGTCATACAGCATTTTTTGGCTTTGCTTTTGGTTTTAAATCTTCCTAAATCCTTGAGCTGAATACTAATTTATGACAGTGACCTTTGGTAGGTGAACTGCATGCTTAGTTTATTTTAAAATTTGCTTGATCTAGAGCACAAAGAGTGCCCTTTTAATGAGCAGAATACAAGTACCTAGTCTACCTTTGCCGTATCATTCACAATGCATATGCTGTTCTTGCATCTTCTTACACATCATCTTTCTAAAGTAACCTGTCTTAATTTTTATGTGTAATGTTATATTACAGTTTTTTATGTAATGAAACACGGAGTGATGGAGTGAATCAAAGAAGTATATGATGTTAAAGTTTTGATGATAAACTGCAGAAAAACAAGCAGAGGCCAGCTTTTGTTTGGGAGCAAAGGAAGGTACAAAGTCACTGAATATGCTAAATGTGCTGAGTCCTGAATATTATCTGGATGCAGAGAACATAGTATGATGGCAGAAAGAGTTACATAACAGGTTGAAGGAAAAGATGAGATGCTAATGATGCACGGGTCAAGTGGGAAGAAACAAGAACAGAAAAAGAGACAAGAACTGGAAAAGTATTTAGCTTCAGTATATTAATATTCATAAAGCTTGCAGTGTGTATTGTTACATCGTGTTTCAGTTTGAACACTGGAAAAATAAAGTTCATGAGAAAACAGTCATTGCCACATGTACTTACAATTGAGCTTTGATGATCCAGGTAGTGAACATCAAATTCTAAGAGGATTCTCCCTTGTAAAACAGTTCTATTTTAAGTCTGCTGAGACAGAAGTCAGACTGTTTTGTTGGTTAACTTCATTGTTAACAATCCATAGCTGAAACTTCTCTCAACTTTTCTTCCAGTTTTTTGAACCTACTGCAATGCATCTTCGAAATGACCATCAGTCCAACTGAAGAACAGCTCAAGGTGTCAAAGAAATCACTGAAAGTCATGTAGGGTTAAAGGGACTTCAAAGGATTTGTCTATCCACAGGTGCTCTCAATTTTCAAACAGGGAGTATTTGTATTGGACATCACCTGGAAAAAAACTCTGGACAAATCAAAAAGATAGAAACTGCACAGGGTTCTAACAATACTTTATTAATATTTCTTACCTTGATTCTACTATAAAAGTTCTTGTTATTTTGTTCAATGGTCAAAGAAAGAAATGTGCATTTGTTCCAATTGTGTTATTAACAATCAAATGTTTACATGATATAAAACATCAATAACGGGATTTTTTTTTTTTTTTTTAAATGCAGTAAGGATTGCTGAAATAAGCCTGATTCCGAACTGGTATAACTTGGCATGGTTTCACTGAAAGGTTAGGAGCTGCACTGATTTGCAGCACTTGAAATTGACCCAAAATAATGTTAAGAAATCCCATGAAAGGGAGCTGCAGTCCCATCACGTTTTCATAATCCTTTCATAGAAAAAAAGAATGATGAATTCTGATTTTTCTTTAATTTATTTTCATCTCCTTTGAGATAATATTTATAAAGAACAAGACATAAGAGAAAAAGGAAATAGAAACTATTTTTTATGTACTTTAGCTGGATAGTTATGACACTAACGTTTTTTGTTGAAAGTTACCATGGAAGTACAACCAGACTAATAACAAGCAATTTCTGGGCAGGATCTAGAAATGCAGATGTGAGATATCAGGGAGTTTTTAAGGTCTAAAGCTGAATAGACAGAAAGATGCACGTACCCTTCAAACTAAATGCAAGCCTCCACCTCCAGGGAACTTCCTGGAAGCAAGTCTGATAGCTAGTTAGGGAAAAAGCTGCTTTTGTCAGCTGATTCTACCGAACGCCATAGTAAACTGTGTAGAACTTTTCCAGACGCAAAGTACTGTCAGCATATACAGAGTTTAAAGATAATAATATTTTAATTTGTCACTCTCAACACAATCGCAGGATTTCTTTCCATAGTCATCTATTATTTTATTGTATATTCACCCTTCATCTCCATAATCCTTCTTAAGAATGTAATTAGGAAAGAGAGACCTAATCAAATCAAACCCAAGCCAGCTTTGTTGCAGGTGTAATGAACACTGGTGGGAGTCAGAAGCACACAAAGAAGTTCTACATGCAGCCAAATAAAAATTAAGGACTCCTATTTTGAAATTAATTTTAGTACATTAAAATTAAATTAATTTTAACAGAAACATGAAATGCTGCATTGATTCAGGAAATTCAGGCTCTTCTGCTTTATCTAAACAAACATCTTAGTCACTGTGAGAAAATATTTAGGGGCTGATTAATTGACTCCAGTAAGTTGTCAACTGCTTTATTGGCACTGTAACAATTTTAACTAACTGATGACTTAGCTCCAGCTGGTTTTCTCCTCCTATTTCAAGAGGACTATATAGCTTTCACTAGTGTGGTAGCTGGACTGAACATGTGAGATCACTTTTTGTACTCCCCGTTCTTTGACTATGAAGAATTTAGATGGGGACAATTTAAGTAGAGTTGAGTCAGTAATAACTATTTGCACAGAGATGTTATGTTTGCAGTTTGCTTCTCCGGACTGGCTACAGGCTGGCACACTTGGATGTATTTATAAGTGCACTGAATTCTTTCTTCATTGTGTTTTGAAACTAAAATTGTGACAATTTTTCCCCTTTTCAGCCTTTATATACTATTTTTTAAAAAATTAAAATACAGACACTGGGCAAGTATTTTATAATTTGTAAATACATCTTATTTACAAAAAGCAAATTGTGCTATAGGGACCCAGAGGTTATTTTTCAGTATAACTATACTCATTCTTGCTTCACTGACTGATTTTCTATTTTGAGTATATTAATATCTATAAAGAATTCTTAGAGTATTTTAAAATTGGTTTGTGCACAAAATGAAAATGTTTAAAAGCTATGGAAAACCAAGTGACACTGAAGAAGCTAAATCTTGTTTCTGATCTTTGTTTAAAAGAATTCTAAATATGAATTTTAGAGCAGATGCAGAGAGTTACTAAATAGTCACTATTTCCTTGGATTGTAGTATTTCAATGTATCAAATAGTGGTAACTTCCTGACTAGGAAGCTCTTATCAACATCTTAAAAATGTACTCACAGCTCTTGGTATTTAACAGTATATTTCAACATGACCCCCAAAGACTGCTTACCTTTTTTCAAAAGTTCTCCACATCTGTTTGAATGGTAGGAAGGGAATATGTATTTTTCCTATTAAATGCTTTGTAGAGACACAGGTGTAATCAGTAATAATGTTAATATAATGTCAAGTTATATCTTAGAATAAATGCAATTACTTACAATTAATGTCAGTTCTTAACAATCCTGGTTATGGTCAAACACTGACTAAACAAGCAATACAATAATAAGAGAAGAAAAACAGAAAAGGGTTTTTATATATATGAATATATTTATGTATGCATATATATATATGTATTTCTGTAGAAAATATATATTTCTCTATTTAATACAAATTTAAATGAAGTTAGAGGATATGTGTTTCTTCCAGTATTGTTGACTGTATTGCAATAGGAAGAGCAGGAGCTAAAGTTGCTGTAAGATAGGAATGTGTATGTGCAAAACAGGACGGGCAGTTACTTTGAGCTATCTCACTCTGGTAATACATTACTCAACATTCACCTAACTTTCTCTGTACCCTGGTAGAAAGGATGGTCTGGTTTTAACGCACAAACCCCTCAAAAAGGACAGCGTGTAGCTTAAATTCATCTTTAGCATGTTCTGCTTGATCAGAAATGCAAGCAATAGAACAACTAAGGACACAATTACAGAATTATATCATAGTACAGTAGAAACTTCAGTTACATATTAGTCTTTATTATTATTGAACTGGGTTCCCCCCCCCCCCCCCCCTTTTTTTTTACTTCT